TTATGTTTCATGTTTACACTAGACTTTATAATCATAGTTTTAAGCCGTCACCGATATTAGCTTGTAACTTCATTTTACTTCGGTTCATCTTGGTCAAATCCCTTTACACATACTGACATACGTACCTTATATTTTTAACAATAAGCTATCTACTCGAGTTAAAATCAATAATTGTAAACTTGCTTCATAAGTTTTTCTAAAAATATATATTTATCTCTGTGTGTGTGTGTGCTCCTGGTTTGGAATGATCACTGAAGCTCACAGTTGCCTCTTTGAGCTGTATTCTTGTCAAAGGATGTGAGAGTTGGTTGCTCAAGGTCCCACAGAGTGGATCCACTAAAAGACTCCCCGAACGGGTATATTTTGTATTACATAGTGTTTTATCTCAGGTTCATGGTGTTTTTAATCGGTCTATACGTCTTAAATGGAGCTAACTGTTTACATCTTTTTGGTCTCACAAGGAGAAGACAAATGCCATCGCACATATATATAAAACCTTGAGATTCTTGAAGTCGTTCGTCTCATCTGAGCCATGCTACTAGAGGTTCCTAACGTGGCAGCTAATTCCCATGATGCCAAAGGCAAGGTAACTAGCAAGAATTTTCATCGCATGCTCGAGGTCAGCGAAAAGCAAGCATTTACTGCTCTTGAGAACGTTCGTCATCATGTCATGGTAGCAACCCGAGCTATCACCAAAAGGTGACTTCGAAAAGGCTTTGCTTTTGAGGAAATTGAACTCTCTCGATTTCTTGAAACTGCTCAAGAATCATGGAACCATCCTTTAATACTGTGAATGCCAGGAAAGAGGAGGCGTTGAGGACTTACCTCGTCATATTGCCATAATGTTTGATCTCTCTGAGAACCAATTCCACAGCATCATCAAGTTACACGTTGCATTAATGTCCACGATGTCCAGCACATCATGTTTCAAACCTTGTCTTTCCAATTAAAATAAAAACTTTTACAGTTAACATAAAAAGCTTGATGGTCTTTCAGAGAACAACGAAAGAGCAATGAAGGCTAGGAGTGGTGGTGGCAGTCTGGATCTAAGTACAAGAAGAAGACATAACAATTGATTAAAAAATCGTTAAGAAATCATCTTAAGGTTCCTTAATCTCATAGTCGGTCCTGCAACGAGTCAATGACAGAATCTTGTAGACACTATCTTTACAAGAAAAAATTCTATAAAAATACTTCATTTTAATTTCTTTAAGCTTTTTAATATCCAATTTTTTTTTGGTATCCAATTTAATATTTTAACTAATTATGTTGCAAAAAAAAAATTAATATGTTTATTTTAATACCAAAATTTTACTTATTTTAATTAAAAGTATTAATAGTTTCAATAAATTTTTAAAAATATCTCTAAAATTTACAAAAAATCTTATTTTATATTTTGTTTGAGAAATAAAGGTAAGTAAACTGTATATAATTTTAAAATTTGCAATAAAAATAAGTGTTAAATATTGAATTTAATTTATTTTCTGAAATAGAAAATAGATTTTTTTTCAAAATTAAAATTTTAAAATTTACAGTTTTTTCCTTAATTTATTTACCTTCTTTCCGAACTATATAGAATACAAATTTTTTAATATTTTTACTTAGATTTTAAATATTTTCTGATTTTTTTTTGAAAATTATTAACAATTTTATTAAAATAAACAAAGTTTGGGTATTAAAAATTCATTTTAAAATTTTGTGTATTAAAATAGATAAAAAAACTAGTTGAGCATTAAACTAGATAGAAAAACATTTGGATATTAAAATATTTAATAAAATTAATTTGATATTTTTATGAATTTTTCACTTCTTACAATGTAGAAGCATGGTCCACGTATTCGAAATTGTATCCTCAAAGATGAATTTGTCAGTGTGCTGACCGATTTTTTTTTTCTTGTCAACTGTCCATTTAATTAGATTAAATTGTGATTAGATGAGCTGATTCTACAAAAAGTACACCCGTGTATCTATGTTTGATCTATAGGGAAAAAATATTACTTATGTTTCTTGTCTCGTTTCCTAAAAAGTCTGCCAAAATTTTCTTTTTTTTTGAGGAATATGAATCATGTTTATATTTTCTTAAATTCTCTTATAATTTCTAGAACATTTCAATTTCTGTCACAGTCCATCAAATTCGTAATCATATACACTAGGTCGGTCTTGAAACGGTCCGAACTCACCGATTCAAACGATGGAAAAGTATATATTAATTTACAAAAGAAAACGTATATTAAATACTATACTAGTTGTATAAAATTCAAGAAATTTGACTAAAAATTGTGCGTTGACTAGTGTCACGCAACCCACACGTAGACCAAAAGTGCTCAAAGCTGGTGGCTGTGAAAGTTTCTTGTAACTCTCTTCTCAAATTTTTCCTTTTTTAAAAAATTTATTTTCTTATTCTCTCTTGTCTCTGCCAGCCAACATCCACTGGAGCTCCTCACAGAACGGCACGAGAGAGACATCCTCTCCCACCCACGACGACCAGTTTGATAACCTCATCTACCCTCAAAAAAAATTTCAAATCTTTCGACTCAATTCTCTCCCCTCTTTTCTTGAAACGGGAAAGAGAGAGAGGAATAAGAAGGAAGGAGAAGATTCTAGAAAAAAAGATCAAATGGAAGGCTCAGGGACATGGCAAGGATTGATCCTCGTGAGTATTGTGACATGGATCTGTCTATCTTCATATCTGAGATTGACCCATAAGTTTAGATCTCTTGTTCAACCATGGGTCGCTCGTCAAGTCGTCGGTGGTGTTCCCCTCATCCTCGAAATTCAGGTTCTTGACTAAACCCAAAACCAAAAAGATCCTAACTTCATTGTCTTTCCATTTCTAGATCAATAAAGGTTATTTCTTTTTTTTTTTGCAGAAACATCAGAATGGAGTGATGGATGCTTTCTTCTCAGCGCTGTCATGTGTTGTCTCTGTGCCCTTTTACACTGCTTTCTTGCCTCTGCTCTTTTGGGTAAACATCAAAGTTGGAAATGGTTTTTTAATTGTGAATGCGATCGTAATTTTGATGGCATGTTACAGAGTGGTCATGGTAGATTGGCTAGGCAGATGACTCTGTTGATAGCATTTTGTGACTACTTGGGAAACTGCATAAAGGTATTAACTTTCCGTTACGCATTCTTAATTTAGAAGAAGGAACTTTGGGTTTATTCTTTTTTTTTTTTTTTTTGGGTTTATACTTATAGACAGTCTTCTGTGTTTGTAGGATGTTGTATCAGCTCCTCGTCCTAGCTGCCCACCAGTGAGAAGGATTACTGCTACAAAAGATGAGGAAGATAATGCAATGGAATATGGCTTGCCTTCTTCACATACTTTAAACACTGTTTGCTTATCTGGGTATGTTATCTGCACTCTTTACCCCGTTTGTTGTAGAATCTCGTAGTTGTTTTCTAGCTAGTGAAGTCTGCTAAAAGCTGGAAGGGGAATGCTATAAAGTCTCATTTTTGACAATGGTATCAACTATGCTTACTGATAGTTATTCGGATGAACATGAATCATTTAGTGCAATTTTCATTGTTGTGAACGATACTACACCGCTCTTTAGTAAAGCAGATGTTGATGTAGGTATAGAGGTTTTATGTTTAACACTTTGTCTCCTTATTGGTTGGTGTTTCAGATATCTGTTGCACTATGTGTTATCCTTTTTTGAGCATGAAGATACTTCCATCCGATACTATGGATTTGCTCTTGCTTGTCTGTTGGTAGCTTTAATTGCATTTGGTAAGATCAAACTCATACCAGGGAAATGCACATACCTTGCAAGTATTTGATTCCTCAACTAACACAATTAATTTTCTTCCTAGGAAGGATTTACTTGGGCATGCACAGTGTGGTCGATATCATGGCTGGTCTTGCCATAGGAGTCCTTATTCTAGGTCTTTGGCTTAACGTCAATGAAAAAATCGATGACTTCATTACCTCAAAACAGAATGGTAAGCATTGTTCATAGTTTCACATATACTCTTACTTGCAAACACCTTATAACACAGAGAAGCTATATGACTCTGTCGATTGTGCAGTTAGCTCCTTCTGGACTGCTCTGAGTTTTCTGTTGCTATTTGCTTATCCGACCCCCGAGAACCCAACTCCAAGCTACGAGTATCACACCGCCTTCACTGGGGTTGCACTAGGAATTGTAAGCAATCAAGAAATGTTGTATAATGCAAAAGATGGTTTATCCAGAAAGTGGCCTTGATCAATGGTTTTATTTGTCTTAGGTGACTGGAGTTCAGCAAACATACAGCCAATTCCACCACGAAGGGGTTCCACGAATCTTCTCACCTGATCTTCCAGTTTCAGCCTATCTTGGGAGAGTCATGGTGGGGATACCAACGATACTCTTAGTAAAATTCTGCAGTAAATCCCTTGCTAAATGGATCTTGCCAACAGTATCCAACACACTTGGGATTCCAATAAGATCCACCACGTACATTCCCAAGCTCAAGCTAGACAAGGGATATGCAAATGGGAAGAATACGGACGAAACTAAGAACTCAGTTGGGTACTCACAGAAACTGTGCGAGTTATTGAATCAGGACTCCTTTGATATTGATACCGGTATAAGATTCTTGCAATACGCAGGTCTTGCCTGGTCTGTCGTTGATCTTGTTCCTTCTCTATTCTCTTACTTCAACTTGTAGTGACAGTTACATTGTCTGGTATATTATATAATCTTAGCATGCCACTGTACATCACTTGACCATAAACAAAGTCTCCATAGTGGTAAAGAACTTCATATAAGGGAAAAACATCGAGACTAATAAAAAAATATCTCATGTGAAAAGAATTCTGATACAGAAGGGAGCTAAACAAATTCAGCCAAACACAAACATTCATGGGGGGTTTAAGAGTTCAGTGACCTCGTTGCCTATTTTACACTATTACAAGCGAGAGGGCTAAATCACAAATGCGTTTTACCAGATATAATAAGCAGAGATCTTCAAAAACCAACAACAGGACTTTGCAGCTGAGAGGAGGTGACTAGCGCTTATAGGAAGTAGTCGGGAGTCCTTCGGGTCACATCTGGTTCTCCTCTCCTTGGGGCTGGTTCAAACTGTTTCACATTTTACACTTGGTTAGTTTTTTTTCTTCTTTCACTGAGGAAGAAACTGAAGGTTTCTGGACATACCTGAATGAAGGTGTGGTTCCTGCAGTCATCGACCTCGAGAATGGAGGCCATGTTTCCACAGCGATAGCAATAGTTTGGTGCACTGAAGATTGTAACCACCTTTTGCTCCTGTCAATGGGAATGTATTTTTTTAACATAGTTAGCAAAGATTCTCAGGTTTGGCTAGTATATGCAGGGAAGAGAAGATTGATTGCATTACGTGTGCCCAGTTGAATCCATCCATCACCAGTTGATGCGCTCGAGCGATCAGTTTTAAGCTATTAGAGTGGTTGAATTGTTCGGAAATGTCCTAGGGAAACAAAAAATGAAAAAGAGAGTCAACTACACACATCTGGAACAAACAAAATGGAGGTTCAGGATAGCTTCTGAAACTGAGGCTACGTATTTCAGTACCTGACCAAATGTATATCCCGCACCACGAGGAGAGATTCCCCAGCCACATCTGTCATCAGGATCAGACCATAATAAGTCACACATCGGCCCTTCATGTGGAACTTCTTGAACCCGATCAAAGTTCCTAATGTTGTCAAGGGTCTCGATAGACGGTGACAATCCACCGTGAAGGCAGAATATTTCCGACTCCACCTGCAAACAGGAGATATGACATTAGACGCTCAGCATCCCTATATGTTGGAACTACAACTCTTAGAAACACCACCACACTTCCCAACCAAGTATGTAACACACGAACAAGCAAGCATGTGCCAAAAAGCCTTTCTTTTATATCGAATACAGAGAGCGCCAAAACGTCAGCAATGAGTCCTCTATCGAATATTGAGAGCATTGAAACAGACAGTGGGTCATCTATATTATATGAGTATATAAATGTGCAGCTTGATGTTTTAAGCACTAACCAAGGCTGTTAGGGGGAAATAGTCAAAGAGGTCCGTAAATATCTTCCAAACATTTGCATTTCCATACCTGCAAGAACAAGGTAACTTTGTTTAACAAACTGAAGGAGAAATTACCCAAAAGATTTTCCTAGAGGCGTAAAAGGACAATTAAATGTCTTTGATTAGCACTAACTGACAACTAACGTGTGGAAAAAAATATATAAAAATATAATACTATCAGTCAAATGAGCAAAGCAATATCAGAGACCAAATGGACGTGCAGAGTAAACAATTTATACAACATAAAGATGTTGGAGACTCACTTTCGCAGGCATTCATCATAAAATCCATAAACTTGAGTAATCTGTCAGAGCGAGAAAAAGTAAACCATGAGTCATAAAAAGTTTGAGGACAGAACAGTACAGCAAAGAAAATATAGGAAAACTTTACGGGCTTGTAATCTATATAGTACAGTGCATACACATGAACATATATATTGTAAGTAATTTGTAACTATTAAGGGTCTCGTCTAAGATTTTGACGACAGAAGAATTATCTCAACTCTGTATACCTCAGAAAGTGAAGATACAAATAGAAACAAAAGTTAGTTTACCTGACGACTTTCATGGTTCCCTCTAAGAATAGTGATGCGCTGAGGATACCGTACTTTCAAGCCAACTAGCAGCTATTAAAAGTTGGAAAGTAAAGAAAAGAAAATGGAATTAAAAGTAAAGAAAGGATCAGAATCGAAATTTGGCAGACATTCATAAACGTTGGAAAGAGAGACAATCCAGTATAGACCCATGATATTTGATTTAATAGTATAACAAGACAAATATGTCTTTCTAATTCGAAATCAGATAATTATTGTTGAACCAAAAAAAAAAAAAGAACTGCAGATGGTATAAACTTGGTACCGTAACAGTTTCGACAGAATAATATCCACGGTCGACATAGTCTCCCATAAATAGATAGTTGGTATCCGGGCACTGCAAAAGAGCGTATGATGGACATTCATTAGACAACAAACTGGAACCAGAGATGAAGCCTCAGGCACTACTTCGAATATAAGCCATGAAAAGAGCTACACATAACTCTGAGTATTCGATGAGCACGCACTGAGACTTTGTATTAGCCACCCAGAATAAAATTGCTAGAAAAGGTGGATGCTGAGTAAAATACAAAACTTGCTTCTTTGCAGCCATTAAGGATCTTACCATTCCTCCAATACGGAAAAGCTCTGCAAGATCATGGAATTGTCCGTGAATATCACCACAGATTGTTACTGGACTTTTGACAGGCTGTGTGCAAGTAAATATACAAAATATTAAAATTAACTATAGTTAAACCAAACAAAATGTGTTTATACTAATTCAAGCTAATTACACAATATATTAAGAGATGCAAGCTCAAACAAACAAACCTGAACGTTGCTTTCATCCATCAAAATCTCCTTAGCTTTCTCGCATAATGCTCTGACCTATTAAAAAAAAAAAAACAACACTGCACATGATAAGTTCATCTTTCACCTCCTTTTAAACTCCTAAAGAGATAAGTATCATAAACATTAACAGTGAAATGTCAAAGAGACCACTTTGATATAACAAAGTCATTTCTTTTCAACCTCTACTTATCCCAAAAGCTATTCTCCACAAATCTTACATCAAACCGGGCAATCGCATACTCACATAAGAAGAAAAAACAATTTTTTTATTTGAAATAAAATCTGAGATCCAATCAAACACAATTTTAAACGACAAGAAACGATAAAAAACCATGTTATCGGAAGAGAGATGGAGGCACCTGTTGCTCGGAGAGAGGCTTGCACTGCATGAGCTGGGAGATCTGCTCATCTAGATCGAGCGTTGCGTCCGTCGGAATCGAATTCGCGCCCATCTTTCTTTATGGTGCTGCGTCTTTCTTCTTCGTCGTCGTTTTGGCCTCTAGTCGGATCGGGAAAACGGATCAAAGGTTAACAGATTAGGGGAAGACCTAACACTCTCTAAATTGGATGGATTCTGCGTATTCTTCGCCTTTGTTTAGAGTGGGGGTTTGTAAGCTTTCAAGACGTGTCTTTAATTTTACTTTAGTACCCTTTATCTTTTGGAGTACACCGTTAATGTCTTAAAATCTGTTAATTTGTTTCTTTAATTTTGAACAAGTGAACGATGATATTATATGTCTTTTTCTATGTACTGTAAACAGAGGTACCATAAAATTCCGAATTATTAATTATATATCTTTTAAACACAATAAAAATTTATATGGTTCCAATTTTCCCAAATTAAAGATTACAAATCTTCACAAGTTTAATAAATATTTTTTAAACATATTTAGTAAACTATAAATTTAATACTTGATAGATAAATAAATAAAATAAACTAATAAATTCTGTCAATATATAATTAAATAATTTAAAATATAATTTAACTTACTGAAATAATAAAAATTCAAAATATTATAGTATAAATAAGTAATTATTTATCAACAAATAACTTCATTAAAATTATAAATTAATTATATTTTCTTAAACTTGCAATATAATATAATTCAATTTGTTTATCTTACAATCGCAATACAATTTATTTTATTTTTAATATTTCATAAAAAATATTTTATAACATTTTGATGATATTTTTTCTATCAAGTTTCGTTGATGTTTGATAAAAAGATATTTGAAAGTTTATATGATGCATATTTTATATAAAATAAATTATTTTTCATTTTACAGAATAATATATTTAAAAGATAAAATGTAAATTTATGTAAACTTAAATTTATAAATTAATAAATATGATATTCTTAATATTATTAAGAAAAAAATTTTAAGATAGACTTTAAAAAGTTTTTGTCACAAATATATATCTTAAAAATAAAAAAGACCAAAATACATTTAAATATATACTTATATTCCTAGAATTAATTAATCTAGACATTAGAAACTAATTTATTAAATTAGAATCTTATTTTTATCTACTAATAAAGAATTGCCAATTAAATTTTAAATGGTCATACTAAAAATGACATATATCATATCATAACAATAATCTTATCATATATGCAAAAAATGTTAGTAGACAATTTAAATCAAATACTAAATCCAAACAATATATATTTTGCAATAAATCCAACTACTAACAGACATCCTTCAAAACACGTCAGTTGATTTGGAAAGAATATTATTTTAAGTATTATATATATTCACATTAATATGCACAACCGTGTGGGTTTTATTTTATTTTTTAATTTTTGTTTATATTTTACGATGCATTTATAAGGTTAATCGTATTACATTCATTTATTTGTTAGTGATTGTTAACAATTTATTGATGTCATATAAATAAGCTAAACATCAGAGAAGTACACCGAAACTGCTATACGTTTTATTTTTTTATAAATAAATATTTATTTGTATAAATGATGATATATATATTTAAATTTATTCATTTAAATAATTGTTTAATATGATATTTTTAAACACAATAATTTAATATTTTATAGTAATTATTTTTTATCTTGTAAACCAGCAATAATATAATTCCTATTTTTAGAATATGATCCTTATATTTGGAAAATAATTTTTATGAAACAAAATTTTATGATAATATATACTAAAATATGCATCTATGATAAAATAGGAAAAAAACAAAAAGTAATAAAATATAGGATTATTAATTACTGTTTTCATAATTTTTAGTTAGAAATTAATTTTGGAAATATTTTAGTAGTAGAGTAACTAATAACTTTAATAGTATAACATTGTAAATAAACTGAAAAATAAAATAATATTTTTTATAGGTATTTCTGTTTTAATAAAGTAGATATATATTTTTGACACCCAAAATCAAAATTTTATGTCATAGAAAAAGTGCTCATTTCAAAAAAAAAAGTAACTATTCTCTTATTGTTCTAAATAAAACAAAAAATAACTATACAGAAACCTACACTTAAACACTCATCATTTCGTATTTCACTTTTAAATTTGTCAAACTAAATTAATTATAGCACCCACGCTAATTATGTAAAAAATATAAATCACATATGTTTGCTAAAATATCATTTATCTTAAAAAATGAGTTACAATTTAGTAAAATCTATATACTGAGATACCTAAAACAAAATGTCTACTCGATTTATATTTTTACCAAAATAAAAATATCACATAGATCTGTAAATAAAATATATGTTTTATTGGACAAAATTTTATACGAACCTTTTTCGTGAGCTTAAAGTGTGGATAATAAACTAGTTTAGAATTAAAAGCTGAAATTTAGGGTTTAAGGTTTAAGATTTCGGATTTAAAGTTTAAAGTTTAGGGTTAAGAGTTAAAGATTAAGGTTTTAGAGATAGGATTTCATTTTTTTTCTTTTAAGAAAATTAAAATTTTCGCAATAAAAAATATTATTTTGCCATTTTTGTTTGGGCAAATCTCCAATATAGCACTTTTTGAAGTTTAAGTCACAAAAATAGCTTTCAAAAACTAAAATAACCAAAATAGCACTTTATATTTTGAAAATTTTAAAATTTTTATTTTTCAAAAATAGAAATCTTATCCCAAAACTCCGCTCCCCAACTCTTAACCCTAAAACCTAAATTCTAAACCTTAAACCCTAAAATCTTAACCCTAAACCCTAAATACTAAGTCTCACCCCTTAACTCTAAACCCTAACTTCTAAATTAATTTATCATTGGGATATAAGTGTATATTTATCTCTTTTGATAAAATATTAAGTACTATTTTGGTCATTTTTATTTTTAAGTATTATATTTGTGAGAAAAAAAAAATTATTGCTATTTTAGTTATTTTCTCTTTTTTTTAGTTCTATTTTTGTCACAAAAAATTTAAAATATTGTCCTATTATTAATTTAGAGACGTTCACCGTAATATCAAAAGCTGGGAAAATTGCCTATTTCATTCTGAACTTTACCAGTCGTGTCTATTTCTTCCCGAACTTTGTAGTTGTGCGGATTTCATACTGAACTAAATAAAAAATTAAAAAATACTACCTGAATTTTGCTCATCATGCCTTTTCACTCTCGAACTTTATAACAGTGCATATTCCACACTAAACTAAATAAAAGTATAAAAATACTACATGAACTCTCAAAATCGTGCATAAACCATCAAATTTGTTAGTCATTCATTAATTTATCAAAACGACGTCAGTTTCGATTAATTTTATAAAATAGAAATTTAAAAATACTACATAAACTTGCAAAATCGTGCTTATATATATATATTAACCATCAAAGATGTTACACATCCGGTAATTTATCAAAGCGACGCCATTTTTTATAAATTCTGTAAATTATTTTAAATATAAAACACAAACTCTTAAAATTGTGCTTATATAAAACTATATATATATATATATATATATTGATCATCAAAGATGTTAGTTATCTCTTAATTTATCAAAACAATGTCATTTAGAATAAATTCTATAAAACTAAAAAAAAATTATGGGATGTTCGAATTCTCACACTAATTGACAAGTATAAAATGAATATTTAAATAAATAATAATTAAGTTATTTACAAAATAATTATTTGTAAATTTAAATTTAAAACATAAATAATTATAGATGGATTTGATAAATAAAAAAAAAAACAAAAAATTATAACATTTATTTGATTAAAAACTTATATAAGTTAATGTTTACACAATTTATACAAGAAAGTTACCTTAGTCTAGTAATTATTATGCTCTTACTTGTCCATCACTGTGAAAGTTTTATGATTTATTTCTATATATAAGCATGTTTTTGCAAGTTTATGTAGTATTTTAATTTTATAAAATTAATCTAAAATGACATCATTTTGATAAACTAACGGACAAATTTGATGGTTTATATATATAAGCACGATTTTGAGAGTTTGTGTTATATTTTTATACTTTTGTTTAGTTTAGTGTGAAATATGCACTACTATAAAGTTGAGGAAGGAAAATGCACGATCTGTAAAGTTCATATAGTATTTTTAAGTTTTTGTTTAGTTCATTATGGAATACGCACTATAACAAAGTTCGAGAAGAAATATGCACATATTGATAAAGTTCTGGTTGAAATAGACCATTTTCCAATCAAAAGCTATCTCATATAATCGTAGGTGAGAGATATTAAACAAAAAGGTAATAAATATATTTTTCACGCGTTGTGTCCGATCCAAAAAAAGAAGCAAAACAAGTAAATTAGGGTTTTTCTCTACCTTAAGCTTCTCCATTGCGTGTGAACGACTACCGTTGAATTGATTTCTTCGTCTCGATTCGATTCTCTCTTCCGATTATTAAGGTTCTCTCTCTCTCTCTCTCTAGATCCTCTCCGCGAACGTATATATCTCTCTATTTCGAGCTTTTAGATAGCCAGCTTTCTTCTCTTCTCCTCTAATTTAGTTCTGATAGATCTGATTTGAGATTTTCTGCGGGTTTCATCTTTCCAGCTTATGGGTTTTGATAAAGCCCTTTCCTTTATTCACAATCTGCGTTTCTCTGCTAACTAGACCTTTGTGGAATTTGCCAGGTTCATTTTTGTCAAGGATAACTAGTAGACCGGACCAGCTACGATCGTTTTGATTATATAAAGTCGCAAGCTTTTTTATTAGATTTAGGAGAAAATTTCAGATATGAGTGCATCATGGGCAGATGTGGCTGATTCAGAGAAGGCTGCTTCCAGGGCAAAGCCTGCTTATGTTCCCCCTCATCTAAGGAACAGACAATCAGAGCCTGTTGCTCCTTCTCCACAGAATGATCGTCCAGGGTATGGTGGTCAACCGGCTAGATGGGCTCCTGGAGGTGGTGGAGGCGGTGGCTACAGGAATGATGTAGGGCGTCCCAGCCAAGGCTATGGTGGACGAGGAAGTGGTGGTGGTGGTGGTGGATGGAACAGCAGAGGTGGAGGATGGGACCGTGAAGTTAATCCTTTTGGAGATGATGCTGATTTGGAACCCGTCCAGGAGACTACTGGCATTAACTTTGATGCGTATGAAGATATTCCGATTGAGACCAGTGGGGGAGACGTGCCTCCTCCTGTTAACACATTTGCAGACATTGATCTTGGGGAGGCGTTGAATCTGAACATTAGGAGGTGTAAGTACGTGAGGCCTACACCCGTACAGCGTCACGCTATTCCGATACTGCTTGCAGAGAGGGATTTGATGGCCTGTGCTCAGACAGGGTCTGGGAAGACTGCTGCTTTTTGTTTTCCGATAATTAGTGGAATCATGAGAGATCAGCATCTTCAAAGACCTCGTGGTTCAAGGACCGTTTACCCTCTCGCAGTCATCCTTTCACCAACAAGGGAGCTGGCATCTCAGGTAACATAGATAATCTACTCATTCTCTCACACAGTATATTTTTTTCAGAGGAAAAAACTATGTGTATTTTTACTACACACATTGCTGACGGTGTGATTTTTGGGCAGATACATGATGAAGCCAAAAAATTTGCCTACCAAACTGGTGTGAAGGTTGTTGTTGCGTATGGAGGAACACCTATTAACCAGCAGGTAATTATCGTCCAAAGATAGTTTTTTTCCTACTGCCTTTCTATGGATATTGCTTCATGCTTATAACGCTGTTGTTTGTTTTAAGTTAGTAGCAGCGTACTGCTACTGATTTGGGTTCTGCTAGCTCTTCTCTTCCTGATGCTAGTTTCATTTGGTGATAACATGTTTTGATTTGAAGTCAGCAATGCATAATTAATCTTGTATCTTACAAACTTTCCTTCCATTCTAATTGGCATTGTCATTTCGTTTGCATCATCATTGCGTAATATGCAGAAGCATTGGAGTTTATCCTGGTTCCAGGTGTTAGTCAATCAATCTTCCAGCATCGATTTGTTGATTTCATCTTTTACTGTTTGTGTAGCTCAGGGAACTTGAGAGAGGAGTTGATATCCTTGTGGCAACTCCTGGCCGGTTAAACGATTTGCTAGAGAGAGCTAGAGTCTCAATGCAGATGATTAAATTTTTAGCTCTTGATGAGGCGGACAGGATGCTTGACATGGGTTTTGAACCACAAATTAGAAAGATTGTTGAACAGATGGACATGCCTCCACCTGGGGTGAGACAGACTATGTTGTTTAGTGCTACGTTTCCTAGGGAGATCCAGGTTGGTTTCACTTGTCCATGTAACAACCCTTTTTGCTCTTAAATTCTGTAATTATATTCTAGGGAAGTAGCATGGTATGGAAAGCTTTATTTGTCAGAGGATAACGTGTTCTTTCGTTATATCTGTAACTTTGTGATGGTGAACCTTTGATGGTTTAGTTTAAGACTGTCAAAAGGGGTCAAATGCCGTATGGGTATAATATGAGAACAGCTGCATAGATTTCAGCACAAGAAGATTTGGTTCTTTATATTTATATTAATTTCTGCATATTTGTTTCTTGTACAGAGACTCGCTGCTGATTTTCTGTCGAACTATATATTTTTGGCTGTGGGAAGAGTTGGTTCAAGCACTGACTTAATTTCCCAAAGGGTTGAGTATGTCCATGAGGCCGACAAGAAAAGTCATCTCATGGATCTGCTACACGCACAGAGAGAGACCCAAGACAAGGTAATGCGTGAGTTACCATCTGTTGTTTACTAAGCCAAGATTTATTATCATAATTCTTTACGCCCTGCTAACTAATGATGGCTTTACTTTTCTTTTCATACACAGCAATCATTGACATTGGTTTTTGTGGAGACAAAGAGGTCAGCCGACTCTTTGGAAAATTGGTTGTGCATGAATGAGTTTCCAGCAACCTCCATTCATGGTGATAGAACACAACAGGTTCGTTGATTGATTGAGTTTGAACTTTTTTTTATCTTAATGTGAACACCAAACCTTGCTAATTTGAATTTATCTATATACTCCACACCAATTACAACTAAAACCAATCTAGTTAAAGACAAACTGTATCGTTTAATAACAAGCTGGATCATATTTTTTGAAATGACCTCTTTCTCTTTCATCATCAAGGATTTTGTTCTCTGTTGACTAAATATAACTTCTTTGTGCTATTATGCATTGAAGGAAAGAGAAGTGGCACTGAGGTCATTCAAAACTGGGAGGACACCCATTCTGGTTGCAACAGACGTGGCAGCACGTGGTCTTGACATTCCTCACGTGGCTCATGTGGTGAACTTTGATCTACCAAATGACATTGATGACTATGTCCACCGCATTGGACGAACAGGACGTGCAGGCAAATCTGGCATAGCAACCGCCTTCTTTAATGAGAAAAATGCACAACTGGCTAGGCAGCTCGCTGAGCTGATGCAAGAAGCCAATCAAGAGGTGCCTGAGTGGCTCACAAGATACGCTTCACGTGCTTCATTTGGCGGTGGTAAGAAACGGGGTGGTGGTCGGTTTGGTGGCCGTGACTTCAGAAGGGAAGGCTCTTTCGGTAGTGGTGGCGGCCGTGGTGGAGGCCGTGGTGGTGGCAATGACTACTATGGCGGAGGAGGGTATAGTGGTGGCGGAGGAGGCTATGGTGGTGGTGGATACGGTGGTGCTCCAAGTGGTGGCTATGGTGGAGGAGTGACCAGTGCTTGGGATTAGCCAAATAAGGCTTCCTAAATTTTCGTCCTTTTGACCTGACTCTTCATTTTATCTCTATATTCCCAAGAGAGCACATGTATTTTGCCCCTCACCTTTGAGATCTTTCATTCAAGAGATAGATATATAACTAGTCTTGCTATTAGGTGAGTCTCTGTGTTTTTTGTTCTCAGGCTATTTTTAGGAATTGGCCTTGAAAATAGACTAGTGTTTTCCGATTTTGATCTTGTTCTTGGTTTCTTCTGACAAATTCATTTGTTGGTTTGAAATCAAATTTGTTCTACACTTCCCTTTGTTGTTGACAATCTTTCTTGGTGAAATACAATCTCTAGTGTACCTCTTTCAGAACTTTCATATGCTTACAATTGTTGCTCTGTGTGAATCAACTGCTATTGCTATTCATCTTCTAAATCTTCTTCAAGTTCACTCTTCTGACATGCTTCAAGTACACAGCTGGTTTGGTCTTAACTCCAGGACCCTAAACAACATCCAGCCCCGTACTAAAGGCAAGTGTCGGCGTACAATCACATAATATCTTAGGCAAATTCTAAAGGAACACAATATGTTTTATTAACAAGAAATGGGTGCATACACAACTGATAGATAACAACATGTACAGTGAGTGGGATTGGTTGTATTTATCAACTTAAATAACAAGTGATTACACTAGTAGGTGCCATGCTGAGAAGGCTCCAGCCATCACTAGACCAAATTGCTTCTTATCTCTTCCTTTGACGCTCGAACTTGTGGGGACTGCTGCAATATTTTTTTGTTTGTTTGTTATTTTCTTGTTCTAGTTCCTAGAAAGACGGAATAATGTTTGCACGAGTAGAATTAAAACTGTCAAAGGAGTAGCATTAGTACCTCTAGGTTCAACATTCTGCAAGGCTTCAGTGAATTGCTTAAAAATCTTAGCGGCTACTGAATCTGGTGGCAAATGTAGAAGCTCTTCTTGCAGAAAAATGAAATATAAAATTGTGACCATGTAAATCAACGTCTTCTTTGTTTCCAGAAGATATTGTAAAAAAGAGATTTTGTTATGAAATTTCTAACCTGGGCACTGTGAAATATTTGCAGGGACATGACAAGTGGAAGGAAGGCTCATTGCACGGTTGGCATCAACTTTGAACCCTAAACCAGGATCATCCCTGTCTTTGACAAGAGTACAGAGACATCTCTTGGTTTGCCCTTTGTCTAGTTTTTCCTTGAGTGTGGTGCAACATGTTGAGTCTGGAGATTTAGCTTTGCTAGTGACAAAAGGAAGACAAGAGTAGAGATCAGATATGGAGTCCTGACATCCTTTTATGTCCTGATTCAAGTCTGATCTCACACCAAGAAACATGATTGCCACTGTTAAAAATAGAGCGAGCATTTTTCGATTTTGATTGTAACCCATGATTCTAATCACCAGTTTTATGCAACAATGAAACTCTATATGCCTCTTTATAAACTTATCTTCGGACTTGTTTTTTCTTCCCTCTCAACTTGGATAACTATAGTTCTAATTCTGCAAGAAACTTGTTTAAAATGTTTTAATAGTGACTACTAGTTGACATGTCTCATGTCTAAGTTGAAATTTAAGTTTTGCAATTATTGGAGGGCTACATAAATATATAAAAGTTGTTCACAGTCCCTTTTCACAATCTATACAAGATATCGACAAGGAAAGAGTGTAGAGTTTGTTCTCAAGTGAAGTGACTGTAAACTCAGCCACTAATTCTTGAACATTCTACCGTTTTTTTTTTTTTTTTTTGAACACAATACATTCTACCGTTTAAATTGTTGCAATAACAAGCCAATGGAAGAAAAAAAATCTACCTGCAAAGAGGAATCACTATGAGAAGAAGAAACAAGAACCATAAAGTGATTCTTACAGTGAGGTGAAAGGAACTAGAACTGTGATATAGAACTACATCCACACGATCTACTTCATGTATATTAATCAATTCCACTGAGTCTAGTATTAAAACACTGGTTACAGCTTATGGTATCTCCATAAAATATGTGATCCATCTGTGAGTTTGCAGCATCAGCTTCTGGTCTAACGTAAGCTGCGGAACTCAGCCAAAAGTGCAATGTGATCAGAAGACCATTCTGGGGATGGAAGAGCCGTGTGTTTCCTCAAGCTCTCTTCATCCAGCAGTTCCAATAACGATTCCACACTTAGTGTATTCCCTGAAACCATAAAAAAAATGCAAAATGTTTACAGAATGAAAAAGAAAACTGAGTTGCAAATTTGCAGGATTTGGTGAGGAACCTGTGTAAAATATGTAATCAAGTGTGCCTTTAAAGTCCCTAGTACAGTTGGTAAACAATGGTTCCAATGACGCAGGATCCATTCTTCTCCTTTGCTGCTCAGCAAAAAAGCTGTCTCCCATTCTTGAAAAGGACGCGTAAGCACTAACCTGCATGGCTCACAAGGTAAGATGATTATGCACATGTTGCAATTCTTGAAGATTTTAAGTATGTTTTTCATGATGATTTGGGAAAGATAATAATACCAATGGCAGCTGATGAGTTAGCTTGGCGTGAGGACGCAAAATTCCAAGAGGATCAACCATCACATCTGGGTGCATTGGATCAACCTTCCCCAAAGCAAGAAGTAAATGAGGAGCACTGAAAATATATTAAAAAAAAATAACACTTAAATAATCTGACTAGAGACTAGAATCATAATTTGATCTAGATTTTTGACATATTGGATATAACACCTTGCTGGTACTGTATTGAAATCTCCACACACAATCATTGATATATCTACACTGGCAGCTATTTTATCCATTCCCTTCAATAATACATGAACCTGTTTTGAGCAAGATTCAAATCCGGATTAGTAGTGATGTTAAAATTCTAAATCCAAAAGTTCTTTTGCAATCATACGTAACCTGCCAGAGCTTTACATCCTTCAGTTCATGAGAAACGTCTACATGTGTGTTAGCCTGAATTCAGCAAACCAATAACAGACAGAGAAAAAAAATGATCACCAAGAGACCTTTAAGGAAGAACAGGAGGAAACTAAAAAAATTACCAAAGAAGGGAACAATCTTGTAAAGATGCAAAACTTACCACACAAAGTAGCTGGCGTTTCCCAAATTTTGCTTCCAGGACAACTATTAATGCTACATTGTCCTTAAAAAAGGGAGAATCTAAATCAGTTTTACACGAAAATCAATGTGTGGAAACAAGAAGAGAGCATCTTTGAATACCTTAACCAATCGATTCAAAGCAACTTTCTTCTGGGCGACAGGAATAGTAAGCGTCTCAGTCAAAGATTGAGCAGCCTTATTGAACTCAACCTAGAAGAGTAGCACTTGATGATTAAAGCAAAAAAGGGCTCAAAACAGATACAAGTAATAAAGTGGGAAACTAAGACCTACGTCGTATTTTTTAACAAGAGAAAACCTGTCTCTTTTGTAAAAAGTAGCACATCCATCAATTGTGTTTGTATTACCAACGAAGACCTGAGATTATCAATACGTTCCATTCAGCACATTCTATCCAACAGAAATGATCATGAGGATGAGACAAAACAAACCTCATTGGCTTTCCTTTTAAAGAGAGCTTGG